CTTGTAATGAGAGTTCCAGGAAGAGAGGAAAACCCAAAGCTTGGTAAAGGCACGTTCTTCAAAGTGTTTGACCCTTTTTTTCCCCCCCCTCACTTCAAATGAATGAGGTAAAGAAGAGAGGAATGGAGTCCGAAACCACAAGGAAGTACTTGCATACAAGAGGAGCTGGAAATAACTTCCCAGACTCTTCCAAGACACTCAAGCTCACAGAGAAAAACCTGATAACAAATTTTCCTCACCAGTTAGATGGAAAAGTTGGCAGTAACCCACTGTGGGGCTCAGGGCTCATGAAAGCTCTTGGAACGGGCAGCACCTGATTTATTTTCTTTTATATAAGACATAAGTTAAGCTGCTTCTATTTTAAAATTAACTCTAACTCTCAAAAAAGGCTAAAACCCTCCAGCAGGTGAGAGCTGAAATAGCTACCAGCCAGTATAATGGCCTGCTGAGTTATAGAGATGTTTGCAACCCAATGATTTTTTAATTTTTTTTATGTTTTTTTGGTTTTTTTTCTTTCTTTTCCCCTCAGAACTTGCACAAAAGAGAGTCACAAACCACTTTTTTGACTTTTGCTGCTGACAAAAACCAGAAGGCTCCGCCCACGCTCCCAACACCATTTTCCCAGGGCTTGGTCCTTCTCATTGAGGTTCTCTGCAGTGGGCATGAATCAGTAACTCAGCAGGTGTGCAGGAGCTCTCTCTAAATGACTCTGCCCTCTAGGGTACATTTGGGTTATATTTTCAAAGATGAAAATCTTTTCATCTGTCAACCTGGGAAACTTCTTTGCCCAACGTGTCTAGGAGTAGTTAACAATTAACTATTTCTAAAAAAAGAAAAAGAAAACTTAAAAAAAAAAAATAAATCACCAGACCAGGAAATATGAATCAATTAGTCTTTGATCCTTCCCCCAGTAACAACTTCATCTAGAACATGGATTACTGCTAATGCTAAATAACTAGAAATGTTGATGGACTTTAAAAATACCAGTGGTTAAGAAAAGGAGAATTTCAATTCCATTTCCTTCTGATTTTTGAGTCTCAAGGTGGCATTCTGAGGCTTCTCCCCACACACTGTGAGCAAATTTTCATTTTAAGAATCTCAAGCTCCGTGGTGCCCTCATGAGATTCCAACAGGGGAAGCTTTAAAGTAATTCTGCAAGATGCCAATAGTCTTGTACACAGAAAGCAGTAAAATAATAACATACCTGTCATTCCAGTAATCTAGATTTTGAACAACAGGAATAAAACATTGTCAATAATGCCAGTATTTTGCAGGAAAAAAACACTCATTTTTCACTTAAAGCTATTGGGCCCATGTTTTATTTACAGTGCCAGGGCTGGGAAAGCATCTTCCATGTGCATTAGGACTTGGTCCAACAGCAACAGTTTGTGACATCAAACTGCCTTCATGTTAACATCATGATGTCAACTAGAAAATGAGGATTCTTCAAGAAAACAGAGAAATGAGCTGGGCTCTTAAAGTGCAAGGCTGCTTTTAAGTGAAAGATTTTTTCATTCAAGTGAAGAGAGAAGATGCAAGCAGAAAAAATTGTGTTAGAACCATCCTTAAAATAGAATAATTTAAAACAACAGCCAGAGTGAGGTTTATAAGAAATAATACATACCCTGTCTCTCTCCCTAATTCCTAAGGGGTCAATAACTCTTTTGGTCTATGAAGTCCCATACAAAGTTATCAATAAGTCATGAGAAAAACGCAAAAGTCAAGATTCTAATGAAATGAATCATTGTTTCTGGCTGTAAAGCAGAGGCATTCTGCTCAGCCTGCGTGTTTGGTGCAGCCGTAGTCAGATATCCCTTCCCCCTCCCATCACCATTGGCCTTGCAATTAAGCTTCAATATGCCTGTCTGTATATTATTGATGTGGAAACAGCTATTTCCATCATGCCGCAGACATTCTATACTTTTGAAGTCTGTGGTTACAGAGTCATTATTCCATACAACACTTTCCCATCACTAGGGTGTGCAGGATGCCATAAAAAATGTTTTTGTGCAAGTTCCAAGCTACTGGATTTATGTCAATAGTTACCTTAAATACATTATTTTTCATACCTGGTCACCCTGCCTTCTGAGGATTTGCTTTAATGAAAAGGACTGGATCATCTGAGAACGAAGTCAGTAGAGCTGTGCTGATTTGCAGATCTAGTTGATATTTCCATCTTTTAATCTGCATGTTGTTTTCAGGATGATGATAATAGTAGTAATAATACATTTGCTTCTATTTGTAGCGAAACACTGCTGGAGTTGAATGCTCTGTTTTAATGAGACACACCGAGTGAAACAGTATCCTGCAGTGCAAGCAGCACATGTCACCTCTCCACTGCCTTGGCATTACAACCCAAGCTACAGTACAATATTCAATTTTCTTGGTGATCTCCCAGAAAAACCTTCTTAATTTAATCTCTAATGGGATTATCAGCCTCATTAAATTGTAAATCTGCCACAGCCCAGCTGTTGTGGGAACCTGAACTTTCAGAATGTTATCAATTCGCTGCTCTGATCTCTCTACCTGAAGTCCCTCTAGAAACTTTTAACACTTTCAGCTTCAAAAGCTGGAAGGGTCCTTCCCCACTTCCCTCACATACAACTTCTTCTTCCCCAAATCCCTGCCTTTTTTCAAACTAAAAAGGCACAGACCTGCTTCTTTCCCAGAATTAAGCCAATATACCCAACCACAGACCTAACCCAGTGGCTCCGATCTATTTTCTACTTGGGCAGCCCAGCACATTTTGCAGAAGCCCCTACAAGAATGAACTATGGAGAGCAAAACCACTTCTCCTTGCTACCCTGCCTTATAAGCTGAGAACCAGGCTGACCCACTGCAAGTTTCCTACCTCTGGAGAACTCCAACAACTCTGAAATGTTGTTCATCTGTCGAGGGCAATACAAGCCCAGGCAGGTATTACAGCTGAGTGCCTTCACAGCACAAAGGAAATACAGATGTAAATGAGCCTTGGCCCTCAGACTTCTGGCAAGTTACAAACACTGTCCCTGGTGTTAGGAGATGTATCCTGCTGCACACAACGGGTGCAAGCCTTCAGACCCTTCCCAAACTAAGATTCTTGCTGAAGCAGAGACAAATTTGCCTCTGCAAAGGACACAGAACCAGGACAAACCCACTGTACCTGCTTTTCTAAGTGACCATTGCACAAGCCTCGCAGACGGAAGGTTGCTAAATCCTGGAGGGCACTGACAGGTGACTAGATTCCAAAAAGAGAGGAAACTCCACCTTAGGAAACCATTACTGCTTGTCGGAGACAAGGCTGTCAGGAATACAGGTAAAGAAGGATTAGTACTGGAGAGACAGGAAAGAAGTAATCTTAAAATAATTTTTTAAATTTTTTGTGTCTAAGCAAAGCAAATCTAGTGGACACACACAAAAAGGTTACTTTCTCACACACCTGAAAAATCTCTTAGGAGAAATAAACAAAGAATTTGGAGTATGGCAGATTAAAGCTATATTATGAAGGAGCTTGAATCTTCCCCTTGTACATAGTAGTCTAACAAAATAGAAGACTGCTGCTTTTATCCAACAACCTCCTTACAGCAATAATATGTAAACTCCAAGCATCCTTCTGAACCTAGCTTCTTTTTTCTTTCCTATGTAACTAAAAAACAAAGTGGTTTGTGCCTGTAACAGCCATTTATGATGTCTTTAAAAATACATTTTAAGTTCTTGGCTTTTCATAATTATTTTGAGCAGCTTAAGTCAACTGGGAACAAGATTCGTGGTTCTCATGTTCTTATGTTGTAAGAACATAACAAATCAAGTTCTCATAGCAGCAGTCTGTCCTACCAAAAGGGGTAGCCTTAATATAAAGAAGAGAAACATTCCATATCCATAGTTAGATAAATAATACTTCAGGCAAGATATGGCACCTTTAAAAGTGCCTTTTCAGTCTTGGATTTTTCTCTGCTTGTTACTACAGAAACCATCTAGCAACCAGAATCTAAGACAGACTCCACCCAAAACAGAGAAAAACAATATAGACAGAGTAGGCTTTTCCTCCTCTTTTCTTCCCCCCACCTTTTTTTTTTTTTTTTTTTTTTTTAGGGTGGGTGGGTGCGAAAAAGTGGTTGCTTTTATGGCATAATATTTTTTTTTTTCCTGACGGCATTTAAATACT